AGCTATTATCCTTTTTACGAACCAAATGTAACGGGCTGGCCCACTCGCTTGCGGATTGCTCGCAAATTCCTTCTGCTAATAGTTGCTCGAATTCTTTTCGCGCTGCTCGGGATCTTGCTGGAGAAAGTCGGCGGGCTCGTTCTGCCACTGCTGGGCCTCTGGTCACTATGTGATGTTGCACATTATGCTTGGGTTCCTGTGCTTTAGCTGGTCTCGTCACGCTTATATAATCCTGCAAAATAGCTTTGTAGGGATTATATTGACTTACGGGAGAAAGTGAAGGTGTACGGCAGACGCTGATGCTCCCCAGAGTGCAGAGTTTGGTCGTGTCATCGATGAGTCGTCGGTTTCGCAGATCCACTAGTAAATTGTAATGCTTGAGAAAATCTGCGCCCAAAATCGGCTGCTGTACATTCGCGACGAGGAATTGCCATGGTGTTACTCTTCGAAGTGAAAGATCTAGGTTGAGAACCTTCTCTCCGTATGTTTGAATTTGCGTGCCGTTGGCGGCGAAAATTTTGAGATTAGACGGCGCGCTATACGTGACTAGGGACTTTGGTATTACCGAGATATCGGCGCCTGTATCGACCAAAAATCTTGTTCCTGAGTTTCGGTCCAAGACTGCGAGACGATTTTGCGACGGTGTGGCGCCCGAGGCTGTCTTAACCCGCGGGGGCCGGACTAGTTTTCCGTCTCGGTCGGTTCTCGGATCCACGAGCACGGCTTTTCACACTTCTTCGCGTCGCGGCCGAACCGTTTATGATAATAGCATGGTCCACTTTCGCTCTCTTTTCGACCCGGTGTTTTTGATCGGTCTCTTCGCCTGTAGTGTCGTCCCCGGCTCGCAGAACGCCCTTGTCGAGCGCGATGTCATGATCCAGGCGCTTAGTCAATGCGTCGACCTGCAAGGTAAGCGCCTGGATTGCTTCCTGTATATCCGGAACTGGCTTACGATCCTTGCATATCGGTTGCTTTCCTGATGTATCGACTGCGGAAATCATTGGTCTTATGACGTCCACAGCCTTATCGGCCATCTCGGCGAGGCGCTGCAAGTTTGTAATGCCGGAGGCCGCTAAGATGGCGCGAGCTTGTTCCGGAAGTTGCTCCAGAAATAGCGATCGTAACACTGGTTCACTGCAATTTCCGGCGGACAAATTTCTAAGCCGGTGTAAGTAGGCGGTCGGTTTATCGTCTCCCATTGCGTGACCTTGCAAGAGGCGGCGGAGGCGCTTCTCGTCGCCTTCATCGAAAGCACTCACGATACGGTTCTTTAATGCACTGTACTTTTCTTCGTTAGGGGGATTCAGAATGATGTCGGAGACGCTGTCGAGGGCTTCGCCGGTCATCTGCACTACTACGTATCGGAACTTGCTTGTATCCGCCGTAACTCCGTGGTTCTGAAACGCGAGCTCTATCTGCGCGAACCATAATCGCGGATTATTCTTACAGAAAGGCGGTAAACGCAGTAGGCGAGAGTTGATGGCGGCGATCTCGGGATCACGGAGATCCTCCGCTGGCACAGCGGCGGGAGGCTGCTGGTGTTCCGACATTTCGTGCGAGCCTGCCGCGTTGATGGGGCCTTGACCGGAACCAGGGGAAGAAGGCGGCGAGTGTCCTACCGGCATGAGGCGCGATCACTTACTGCACGTGCTGGGCTTACTTGGAATGCTTCCTTTTTTTCTTGCGTCTTTTCACTCGATTACGTCGGGGTCACCAATGTAGCGCTAGGTATAGGGAGACGAGCACTCGTACACGGATTTAGAACGTATATATATTATATATAACACTTTATTTAACTTTGTACAGCGCGTGCGACTTGAACGAAATTACGAAGGTAAGGCAGCGAACAACCGAACAACATCTCAAAAAGGCGGGCTTCTTCCCAGAGAGAGAGAGGACAAACGACTGCCTAATGTGGCGCTGTCCTGGCTAGCTTCTTATTGGCTGGCGAATTTGTCCAGAAGGCAGGGTTGCCACAAACTATCGCACAATTTATAATGTAAATTTTTATTTATCTATTTTCATTTCTATTTTCATAAGGCTAATAAATATTTCAATCATTACATTGTTATCGCACTGGAAGATGCAATCTTTAAATATTTGCACATACTTTCGATCTGAAATTTATGATCTGGCATGTCCAGTTCGTAACTAATTTTGTAGATCTATCTTATGATTTACGTCGCGAAATCGGCGAAATCGAA